TCTTTTACGAGGAGCGGGGGGGGGGGGGGGGGGGGGGGGGGCGGCCCCCCCCCCCCCCCTACAACCTACCCTCAAATTTTGTCAGTTTGTAGGGTTGACCCCTAAGGGTCTAGGGTTAAAATATTTCGCGGGTCCGATGCTCTTTGGCCGAGTTATGAAAATTTCAAAATTTGAAAAAACCGGTTTTTAATGCATTTTCGGCTCAGCGCCAAAAGTAATTCTTGCCAAGTCCCGTATTTGAACAAATCGTTTTAAAAACCAACTTTTTTTAGGAATATGTTTGCTATGTTCATCTCCACCAGATAACATATTTTCTCCCCGAAAAAAAATCTCTTCGCAAAAATTCCCTACGTGAAACCGAATTTGGGTGGTGTGAAAACATAAAAATTTCGAGAAAACCAGTACAGATTCGTTTCTTCGTTTCCAACTACCATTCCAACACTTGTTCCACAAACAGCTCAAGCAGCTCTACCGAGTCCAATGAGAAAAGAAGTTTCACCCAATCTTACCCAACCTCACCCACACCCTCACCCTCACACCCTCAATCTAGAACTCGAAGCTACGAGTTTTAAACTATTCAACTTTTAAATCTTATAAATTTAAAATTCGAAGTTTCGAGTTTTCCGTTTAGCAACTCGCAAGTAATTGATTATAAATCCTGGAGTGACTCATTATTACCTATTAGGTAACTGTTGATTAAATACTAACCCACCGATTACTTATTATCAATCAACGGGCTATCAAGCAATCGGCATCTCACTATTAAATACTGCTTAATCATTCATTCACTATCTGACCATGAATTATCAGCCAACTAATCGTAACAAATCCCGTTCACATTGACCCTGACCATGCCGTTACCAGCTACACCCTCCCCAACACCCTCACCCACAATAATTGATAATCAGTTAGTCATTTAATAATTAGCGTTTAGTTAGTGTGTATTTAATAGCCAATTACTTAAGAGTTTAATACTCGAATAGTGTCTCCGACTTTTATATGTATGTATCATATAGAATAAACTAGGCCTGTTGAAAAGTCTTTTAATCGAAACAAAACATGCGTTATAGTAGCTAAGTTCACATACACATACTCTCATTCTCAGAATGACAGGAAGATTGGAACTAAATATAATACAAAAATTTTCTCTGCGAAACTATGACACATACGGGAACATACAACATATGCTCTTTTAAATTTCGTAGAAGACTCGAATTTCATAATTACAGCCTTTAAAAAGTCTGCTATTTTCACTGCATTTTTCTCATAAGCTAAACTCATGTTTAAGTTATTAATCTGTATTATTGTCACGACTTGTTTGCCGTGGAATTGTGCTGGTGAGCAAAAAAGTTTGTTTTTCTGTTAATGTAATAAACCTCCCTTTTAATATAGGTAGAAATGGTATGACTTGGAAAAAGTATACACATTTCGAACTGTTTGGTGTCGATATGGTCGGTTGCTTTGGAGCATCTGGAACTGCACCAGAAGCACCTGACATGATATGTAATCCATATTCAGGAGATAGAAATTGTGATACGTCACTTCCAGTCTTGTGTACCAAATATGATAACAGCCCACGACCAACACTTCCTGTTATATGGGACTTTTATTCTGGTTGGAATAAAGGACAAATACGTTTAACAAGTCCAATCCGAGGCTCAGTATTTCGAGATTTGTCAGAAGTAGATCAGTTTTGTGAAGTTATATTTGGTAATGGATGGCGTACAGCTACGTTTCATGATGGAGGAGGTGGATGGAATTATTATTCTTATGGAAATATAGCTTCTGATAAACGATTCTGGGTACACATCGGTGATCAAAATGCAAACTGTTGGGACCACTGAAAATAATACACAATAAGCACAGTTCGTTTCAACTTTTGAACTTTTTTTCTGTAATGACGAAAAGTTTTTGGAAAATAAACAACATATAATCTGTGCTAATAACATTCATCGAAGTTAATGATCATTAAGTAATTTCACTACTCATGAGAACAAAATAGAGATAACTGCTGAGAAAATCATTTTATTTCATACAGAAATGAAAGAAAGTATTCAATTTTTCGTACTACGCATCCGGTGTACATCATCAGGAAATGTATTGACATTGAAAAGATATTCGAGAGGACAATGATACATATCAATGAATTTTGTATAGCGAATTATTATGTTGACAGGAGTGATTGCGATGATATCATCGTTTCTACAATTCTTGCCGACTAACATCTATCAATAATTAGTCTTTTGTGTATGAAACTACCGCTAGGTAAACCATAAATTTGAGAAGATAACCAGCATGGAGATGGTTCAATGGTGAGTGTCAATGAGAGAAAGTCAATAAGCCCATTTAAAGACAACATATTAATAAAACAACAATGATAACATAAAATAGTGATATGGTAAGCATCGGCGGGCCAGAGGGGGGGAGGGCAATTGCCCCCCTGAAAAATTTTTGAAAGGGCAATAAATTTTTTCGCCTCAGAAAAAACGAATATCTGTGGTAATAACCACTGAAAAATTTTTATTGCCCCCTGAAATTTTTTTGCCGGCCCGCCGATGATGGTAAGTAGTTTGTCGCAAAATCATACATAGAATATGAATAAAATGACATAAAATATCACATTAAATCACGTCAGTTAGTATGTATCGATTGATAGATTAATGAACAAATAGATCAGTGATTATGATAGAAGATAACAACAGACGTGAAAATACATGAGATGCCTAATTCGACTTATATTATAAGTCGACCCCCGACAGGTTAGTATCAATTCGAATATAAATAGATACCTATATCACACTTATAACAAATGAGTAGATAGGAATAGAAATAGATTTAGTTTTACTTATACATATATACACCCACACCCTCACTTGAGGGTGGGTGTACACGCGGATATATCTCGATTGAGGGTGCTGTGGTGGGTGTGGGTGTAGTTGAGGGTGAGGGTATGTACGTATAAGCAAAACTAAATCTATTTCTATTCCTTTGGGTGCTAGGAATTGGTCACTTATATTATAAGTCGAATTAGGCAGCTACTCTTCTTTACCCTATAGTCCTTGCCAGCAAAAACAAAATAATCCGATTTTTATTACAATTACGGTGATATGTATATTTACGCATGAATTATAAAATAAAGATATAAAAGTATGAAAATAAATATGTTAAGTGTTTCCTCCAACCTGCACAAAGTTTAAGTTTTCAATGGGCAAGAGTAATGATGAAGGTAAATAACAGTCATTCACATTCTTGCATAAAAGAATGACTTTTTCATTTTCGTAATCAATATCGAAATACGGAAGATGTCGCAAAGAGTGAATACGACGCTTTTCTTAATTCTAGTTGGTTATAAAATAAAAGGTATATTACTATGCGATAAATATATATATACCTACTGATAAGATTTCTCAAACAGAAGACATGTCCAAGCAATTCGAACATCTTGCCAATGAGATATTAATCACTATTTTCGATTATGTTAGCGTTCAAGATTTATATAGAAGTTTCTGGGGATTGAATCAACGATTGAATGATCTTCTTCAATCGCTGAATAAGTTATCCGTGAAAATCGAAAACAATGATTTATCGTTGATCGAAACACTTGCCGATCGAATTATTCGATTAGAAGTTGACATCCCTGATGGTGTTAACTGGAGTCTATTTCCAAATCTACGATCATTAACACTAAAGCGAATAACTTTTCCGCAATCAAATGAACTTGCATTAGCCCACTTACCTTATTTAACCTATTTTTCACTTCTATCATGTGGATTCGATGCGTCGAGTTATCTTGCATATCAAATTTTCACCAATTGGTTTCCTTCTCTTCGTTACGTTAATCTAAGTGGAGTTGGTATGCCTTACGGACGCACATGGTCTCCGTTACCTAATCTTCGTTCGGTGTACGCAGTCTGTAGTGATCCAATTCTGCTCTCGCTTATTCCCACTGCGTGTCCCAATCTTCATCGATTGGAAGTCAAACTCGTTTCAAATAATTGCGCGATTGGTCTTCCTTCGTCTTCCAATCGACATGTTCAAGCACATCCACTCAAACACTTCATTCTTACTGACAGTCCAGGTTATCTACGTCTTGACAAGATTGATTTTCTCTTTACTTTCTTATCCAATATTGAAAACCTTAATTTGTTTACACACGATCTGCCATTTTATGAACTCGTCTTAGTACTCATCAATAGACTGCCTCATCTTCGTCGATTCGATTGTAATATTGGCCAATCGAATGCACAACAAAGCCAGAATGTGGATATTGATACCATTCGAGCTATTCGTCCATGTTTCGGTAGGATACAATGTATAGAGAGAAGAAATGGTCGGCGACTTTATACAACAACTGAGGAATGAATGTTTCGAGAATACCGTCGTTTTACAAAAATACTATCCTTTTTTTTGTTAAAAATATAGAACAAGACCAATGAGTTCGTTAGAGAGTAATTTAACACACAAGCCATGCTAGAGTGGTATTCACTCGATCAAACACATCCAGAGAGAAAAAACGCTACACGTGACAATGTTGATGTGCAGAAAGGAAAGAACCAACTTACTCTTTATATATTGGAAGGTTGGTGAAAGATTAATTCTTAACTCAACGAGATTGCACAAACAACAGACAAAATGGCTGCTAATACCGACGATTCACATGTTCCAAGTGCAAAACAAGTCGACAAACTTCTTCAGTACCTCGACATACTCTATCCTGGAGGTAAACCGATTCAACCCGTGATTGATCCAAGTCCAGGAACTTGTATCTACAAGGATGAAGTAAATACATTTTGTCAAACGATCTCCGATGATTGGTTCTGGCGCGGTTTTACTGCAAAAGCTGCTGCAGAATATTGTAACAATCCTGACAAGTTACAGACTGCGACTTGGAAAGACATCAAATGTGTACTGACGTTCTTTATCTTTAAAGAACGATTTTGCAATGGCTATCAAGGCGCAGCCATCGAAGACGGTTTTATACGCACACTATTACTCCGAGTGAAGGAGCTGGCAAAGAAATAACCACAAATAGTTTGATCTCTGTTAACATGAAAAACTACACTGTTTTTATTGAATGTTTCTCATTGTCATACAGTGATTGTACGATCGGTCGAAACTGTGTTTGAACAGCTTGTCGACGTGTTTTCAGAGTTATAGTTAGCAATCCATTTTGTACTGAAAATGGTTCTGGATGGAGATGAATGTTGCTGACAGTTTCGAAATATTTCAGTTTGTTGTCTTTCGCCAAACGAATTAAATCAGATAAAATCGCTTGCTTTAATTGTTCATCTTTGCACACGTCTGCAAACGGCATTGATTCTGTCAGTTTGAAATGTCTTCGTACATATTCTTCATCAGGTACAACAATGGCTACGACCGTTGCTTCTGTGGAAATGCCATCGATAAAGATCTGTGCCACCCATTGAGAACGAAGATAAATATCTTCGAGACGTTCAGGTGCTATATACGTACCTTGATTAAGTTTGAATATGTGCTTTGTACGATCGATAATACGCAATGCTCCATTACTAGCCCATTCTCCGACGTCACCAGTATGTAACCAACCTTTTTCATCAATAGTCTCGCGTGTTTTCACTTCGTCATCATAGTAGCCTACAGCAAAGACGATTGTAGGAAATTCTATGAGCAGTAGAATTTACCTTTGCAAATGACGGGACCTCGAATACAAATCTCTCCTTGATTCATGTGACTTTGATAGTTCGTGTTTGGTACATCAATAAGTTTGATTTCCACCGTCGCAACTGGCGAGCCAATAGTGTCAAATGCCGTGTCACCAGCATGTGTGGTTGTAGCACAAGCTGTCGATTCTGTTTGTCCATATCCAGTCAGAATAGGTATATCGAGCGCAATGCGATAAAAATGTAAAACATCGCGTGTAATAGGTGCTGCGCCAACAAACATTGCTTTCAATTCACCACCGAACAGATCCTTTACTTTACGAAAAATCAAACGCGAGAACCAATTCGACTCTTCAGAGCGCAGTGCTTGCTGAACAAGGTATTGTTTGAGCTTACTCTGACCAACTTCAAGCATGATTCCATCATAGATCTTGTTGAGAATACGAGGTACGACAGTGACCTGTGTTGGTTTTACCATGGCAAAGTATTCGAGTAGTTTTTCGGGCTGTGGACAAAATACAACTTGATTTCCGCGTAATAAGACGCCAAGAAGAATAAATCGCTCGAATATGTGAGCCAACGGCAAGACTGAGCAGTGCCGAACGGTAACAGATCCTTTGAGATTGGCACGTTCTGTACGAAGAATATTACCTTTGGATGCCGCCAGAAGATTTTCATGCGATAACATAGATATTTTCGGATCACCTATAGAGGATGACGAATAAGCTTTAGAGGTAAATTGAGGGATGATTTGATCTACCTGTTGTGCCACTCGTCATAATCAATGTAGCAATGCTATNTCGATTAGAAGTTGACATCCCTGATGGTGTTAACTGGAGTCTATTTCCAAATCTACGATCATTAACACTAAAGCGAATAACTTTTCCGCAATCAAATGAACTTGCATTAGCCCACTTACCTCATTTAACCTATTTTTCACTTCTATCATGTGGATTCGATGCGTCGAGCTATCTTGCATATCAAATTTTCTCCAATTGGTTTCCTTCTCTTCGTTACGTTAATCTAAGTGGAGTTGGTATGCCTTACGGACGCACATGGTCTCCGTCACCTAATCTTCGTTCAGTGTACGCAGTCTGTAGTGATCCGATTCTGCTCTCGCTTATTCCCACTGCGTGTCCCAATCTTCATCGATTGGAAGTCAAACTCGTTTCAAATAATTGCGCGATTGATCTTCCTTCGTCTTACAATCGACATGTTCAAGCACATCCACTCAAACACTTCATTCTTACTGACAGTCCAGGTTATCTATGTCTTGACAAGATTGATTTTCTCTTTACTTTCTTATCCAATATTGAAAACCTTAATTTGCTTACACACGATCTGCCATTTTATGAACTCGTCTTAGTACTCATTAATAGACTGCCTCATCTTCGTCGATTCGATTGTAATATTGGCCAATCGAATGCACAACAAAGCCAGAATGTGGATATTGATACCATTCGAGCTATTCGTCCATGTTTCGGTAGGATTCAATGTACAGAGAGAAGAAATGGTCGGCGACTTTATACAACAACTGAGGAATGAATTTTTCGAGAATACCTTCGTTTTACAAAAAATATTATCCTTTTTTTTGTTAAAAATATAGAACAAGACCAATGAGTGTGTTAGAGAGTAATTTAACACACAAGCCATGCTAGAGTGGTATTCACTCGATCAAACACATCCAGAACAAAAAAAAAACGCTACACGTGATAATGTTGATGTGCAGAAAGGAAAAAACCAACTTACTCTTTATATATTGGAAGGTTGGTGAAAGATTATTCTTCAGTACCTCGACATACTCTATCCTGGAGGTCAACCGATTCAACCCGTGATTGATCCAAATCCAGAAACTTGCATGTACAAGGATGAAACAAATACATTTTATCGAACGATCTCCGATGATTGGTTCTGGCGCGGTTTTACTGTAAAAGCTGCTGCAGAATATTGTAACAATCCTGACAAGTTACAGACTGCGACTTGGAGAGACATCAAATGTGTACTGACGTTCCTTATCTTTAAAGAACGATTTTGTAATGGCTATCAAGGTGTAGCCATCGAAAACGGTTTTATACGCACACTATTACTACGAGTGAAGGAGCTGGCAAAGAAATAACCAGAAACAGATTGATCTTTGTTAACATGAAAAACTAAACAGATTTTGTTCAATGGTTCTCTTTGTCATACAGTGATTGTACGAGCGGTCGAAACTGTGTTTGAACATTTTGTCGACGCGTTTTCAGAGTTATAGTTAGCAACCCATTTTGCACTGAAAATGGTTCTGGATGAAGATGAATATTGCTGACAGTTTCAAAATATTTCAGTTTGTTATCTTTCGCTAGACGAATTAAATCAGATAAAATTGTTCGTTTTAATTGTTCATCTTTGCACACGGCTGCAAATGGTATTGATTCTGTCGGTTTGAAATGTTTTTGTACATATTCTTCATCAGGTACAACAATGGCTACGACCGTTGCTTCTGTGGAAATACCATCGATAAAAATCTGTGCCACCCATTGAGAACGAAGATAAATATCTTCGAGACGTTCAGGTGCTATATACGTACCTTGATTAAGTTTGAATATATGCTTTGTACGATCGATAATACGCAATGCTCCATTACTAGCCCATTCTCCGACGTCACCAGTATGTAACCAACCTTTTTCATCAATAGTCTCGCCTGTTTTCACTTCGTCATCATAGTACCCTACGCAAAGACGATTGCAGGAAACTCTTTGAGCAGTAGAATTTACCTTCGAAAATGACGGGACCTCGAATACAAATCTCTCCTTGATTCATGTGACTTTGATAGTTCGTGTTTGGTACATCAATAAGTTTGATTTCCACCGTCGCCACTGGCGAACCAATGACGTCAAATGCTGTGTCACCAGCGTGTGTGCTCGTAGCGCAAGCTGTCGATTCTGTTTGTCCATATCCAGTCATAACAGGTATATCGAGTGCAATGCGATAAAAATGTAAAACATCGCGTGTAATAGGTGCTGCGCCAACAAACACTGCTTTCAACTCATCACCGAACAGATTTTTTACTTTACGAAAAATTAAACGCGAGAACCAATTTGATTCTGTAGAACGCAATGCTTGTTGAACAAGATATTGTTTGAGCTTACTCTGACCAACTTCGAGCATGATTCCATCATAGATCTTGTTGAGAATACGAGGTACAACGGTGACCTGTGTTGGTTTTACCATGGCAAAGTATTCAAGTAGCTTTTCGGGCTGTGGACAAAACACAACTTGATTTCCGCGTAATAGGACGCCAAGAAGAATAAACCGCTCGAATATGTGAGCTAACGGCAAGACTGAGCAGTGCCGAACGGTAACAGATCCTTTGAGATTGGCACGTTCTGTACGAAGAATATTACCTTTGGATGCCGCCAGAAGATTTTCATGCGATAACATAGATATTTTCGGATCACCTATAGAGGATGACGAATAAGCTTTAGAGGTAAATTGAGGGATGATTTGATCTACCTGTTGTGCCACTCGTCATAATCAATGTAGCTATACTATNAACGGCAAGACTGAGCAGTGCCGAACGGTAACAGATCCTTTGAGATTGGCACGTTCTGTACGAAGAATATTACCTTTGGATGCCGCCAGAAGATTTTCATGCGATAACATAGATATTTTCGGATCACCTATAGAGGATGACGAATAAGCTTTAGAGGTAAATTGAGGGATGATTTGATCTACCTGTTGTGCCACTCGTCATAATCAATGTAGCTATACTATCTGGATCAATAGTCGGTCGTTTGCGAATATCGTCTGCCTTAATTGCTTTCAAAATCGATGATAAACTTTGAATTTTACTATTTTCCTCTTGACGTAAACCGTTCATAACAATAATCTTTTTGATTCGATCATTTTTCAATAGTTGATTTTGATAAGATCGAATACGTTCAATGTCATCAATCACAAGAACATCAGCTGTAGTTCGTTCAAGTAAATTCATAACGGTTGCAGGCTCATAACTAGTGTAGAGATTGACAAGAACGAAGCCATACATGTAACAAGCTTGTTCAATAAACAGATACTCAGGCCGATTCAGTGACATAATGGCTACCTTTGACTCGTTTGGTGTCAGATTTGTCGTCGTCCATAGATATGAGCCAATGAGACGACTTCGTTCGATGACTTTCGAATAGGATAACCAATCGATCGTATTCGATTTTTGTAAAGTACCAACACATGGCCCGTCATTTGAAGCCGTACGACCTTCATACAGAGTATCACCAAGTGTGCGTACGTTTGGGCAGATTGTTTTATACAATGTCCAAATATCAGCATCTTTGTAGAATGTACATCGGTAAATATGTTCGACATGATCTATCTCAACTGATTGCCGATTGTAATCAATTCCATCGTGGTGTAACCGTTGAATACGAGTCTTAGCAATGTGAGCGTTTCTAGTGATCACTGGAAACCGTCGAAAAACCGATTTGATATTCGTTGTAGTTGGTTTTAAAAATAAACGCAACATGTTCACCTTTCTTTTATCGTGTTAATCCGAGAAATGAAGTTTATTGTATCTCTGAAAGTCGCATGGCCGTTAGAAGAAGAATGTAAAACATATGCGCTACGTGTTTCAAACAAAAAAGTACGAACGAAAAGTTTGATGGTATTTTATTCCTTCTTTTGTTCGTAAATGAGATAAAAGTGCTTTTATTCAAACTAAGGTTCGCATTTCATAAGGCATAGACTTTTTTTCGGTGAGTGTCGACAGCCGAAACTATAGCCAGGCGCTCGCGGTTTGTAGTATTCTAATTTTGTTATATAATATGCGCCTGGACCTGGTACTCTGTCGTAACTCCCGAGATGATTTCCCGTACGTGAGCTCAATGAATAACTAGGTGACGATGGATAGACCGCTTTTATTGCTGGTCGTATATCGTACACAGGTCCTAAATAAAAACTGATAATTTCATTCACTAATATCCATAATTCTTTACCGGGACTACGATGTTTTTCTTCATCATCCTGTTGAAAGGCGGAATCGAGTGATTTGATTTGATCGTTATGAACTAACGACGAGCAAGTGAGATCATTTTCAAGAAGGAATCAAAAATGAAAATAACAATACCAGATGTCGAGTTGCTCGTCATTCCTATTTCTTTTTTTTCTAGAATAAATGAATGAAAACTACGTGGAAAGAATAATACTAACAAGAGAAAGAAAAAAATCTTTGTAGTTCCTCTTTATGTTATTTCATTTATGAAAGATTAGATCGCTGCTGCGCAAAATTTTTCGAATTCAGCGGCATTTTCACTCATTCGTTGAGCAAACTGTTTAAAATAAACCTTCAATTCTTCACGAGTAGGACAT